TCTCAAGAAAACATAAAAATAATAGAATCGCAAAATAATGAAAAAGAAAATAAAAAAAAAGCTGCTGTTAATACTGTAGATTTCACAACGAACAAATTCAACAAGATTTCAACTATTACCTGTGAGACATCGGCAAAAACAAATAATACAAACGCATCCAGTAACGATGCAGCGGTATCCGAAAAGAAACCTGTAAAAAAATACGCACAACTTAAAACGATTTCGACTAATTTAAGGAAGTTTGATAACGAAAAAGCAAAAAACATGGAAGTAGCACAAATCAATTTGCAAGTGTCTGAAGTTTCGAGAATTTTATCCGTGGACAGTACACAGCATATCTTGCGAATGCCAGATATGATAAACTTGGAGACACCTAGAAAATTTGACAACATATCTGGTCCTCCACCGACGCCAAGAGTACTAAGTCCCTCTAGTAGTTTAATTACTCCGTTTATTAAGATCAGCGAGGATTCCTCTAAAATACGTAGTTTTATTCCCACCCCGGAATTCCCGATAACCCCGGGCATAGCTATTACTCCGAAAGAGGAAATAACTAGAGATGTTATAAAAAGAGGCGAGTATAATTCCCCATACTACAAACCCACCTCTGAGCAAGCTCAAGAATCTGATCTGAAGGTATCTAACAATAAGCCTAAAGACAACAGTACACAAGAGTCACCTATTATATCTTCATCGCACATACAATTACATTCGGTGCACAATAGTCTCACATCTGGTAATACTTATCAGACATGTTCTTCTAAATTAGAGATAACGGAGTTCGAAGTGATCAAGGAGAATTTACCGAAAGAAGAAGCTATCAAAGAGTTCAAAATTGCATCTTCTTCCAAAGATTCAGGAAGCGCAGAATTCAACGCTTCCATTGTAACAGATCGTCACATAGATCTGATACAGATAAATGAATTTAAAGGCATAAGTAAGCATCAGGAAATAATAACCGATGTCAACGATCCTCACAATGATTCTGAGAATAGCTCATCATCTGACACATCATCGTCATCATCGTCATCCTCGTCATCTACATCCAGCAGTTCAAATACATCGATAAATACATGTTCGCCAAACGAGAAATGCGACAAAGCCCCAAGTAAAACGAGCACAGACATCAGTAGCGATTTCGCGGAAAAAAATATTAACGCACCGAAAAATATAAATGATGCAACGAATATACAAAATGCATGTAAAAAATCAGATAATGCGATGATTGAAACGGAGTCTTCGCCAAAGAAAATATTCGCAATCACGAAAACTGACGATCAGCTAAAGAATACTCAAAAAGAAACCCCAGCTAAAGATGAGACTTTATTAAATGAGGCTAATATTTCGGAAACGCCCAGCAGCTCAAAAAGCGGAGTAGAAATGATTAACTTGACAACAAAAATATCGGCAATTATGACGAAAGACGAAAAATTATCGAAATCAAATAAGCCGCCAAAGAATAACAGCAAAATACAAATCAACAAACCGAGACCACTGCCAAAGATAATAGATATACAATGTATTCAGCCAGGATTGATCCAGTTGCGGAAATCGATTGAAGATGAATGTCAATCCGAGGGCGAGCAAAGCACGTCTGTGAACAATAAATTTGTGCAAAGGCAGTTATTAGAAGAAAAACGACAACGCATCATGGCTAAGATCAAAGATAACTCAAAATTAAATCCTTGTGGAACAAAACGTAAACGCATTTCAACAAACAAAGCTTCAGAAACTCTAAAGAAATTTGGTAGAGGAAACCGAAATATACGTCCAACGATAAAATATTCCAGAAATGTTAATAAGAATACGGAGCCACAAGATAATCGACAGGAAACCTCGAGAAAAAATACGCAAAGACAACATGAGCCGGAAAAACCAAATCTCATGAATAAGCGCTGTGACAACAAAGAAAAAACGATGAATCAAGTTGCTGCATCGAAAAGTACAGATTCTAATTTAACGAATTACAAAAATAATGGTAGCAAGCCGCTTGATAATCATACGACAAAACAATTCGTAAATGATATTTGTGAAAATAATGAAGTCGAAAATTGTAAGAAAAATGAATTCACGGAATTGCATAATTCTTTATCAGAAAATCAAGATTATCTAAAAAAGAGACTAGATACTAAGGAGAGTATAGAGGAATATTGCAATATTGAGAGTAATATCGACAAAGATGGAATAAGAGAAATACAAAAAAATATTGATGTACAAGAACAAATTTTGAAAAAAGAAAATTCGGAAAAATATATTGTTAAACAAGAAATATCAGCTCTGGATAAAGTAAAGCATGACCAAATAGAAGATAAAAAAAATAAACCGAGACAGTTTTTAAATGATAAATCTGATTACAAAATATTAAGATATAAGGTGGATCAAGTAAAGCGTGACTTATTTAGTGACGAGGAAAATGATAACAAAACATCTTCGGCAAAAGATAACGAAACCGAGACAATCGATACAGAAATTCAAAATTCTAATCTTGTTGAAGCTTCGGACAAGAAGAAAATCGCCAACGTCGAAAATCCTAAGCAGGAATTATCGACCGTTCTTCAATGTTTGCAATTAGTGCCAGCGTCTAAAAAGGAGCATTTGCACAATAATAAAAGTCAAGCTGAACAGCAACACAAAGAACAGAGTGAATTTGAAAACGAAAGTGATAATGAGTTGCATCAAATAATCGATGTTCATAAGAATAAAACAGAGTATCACTTTGTATATGACGATAGTGTACCGATGAAAAAGAGAAGAAGGAGGTATAGCGCACATGAATTACAGATTGAAATCAATTATGCAGATCTCTCGGATCCGAATCCTGTTGAGTGCATCAAGATAATGAAAGCTACCGAATTCGAAGAAATACTTAATCTTCCGCCTAAGAAACGAACAGTGAATAAAAAATCTCGCACCAAAAATGAAAAAGTTTGCGAAACACCTAAGACGGATAAGGACATGCTTAATCTAAAAGATGATACCACAAAACCTTTGGCTACGTCATCTCCTGTAGATGAACCACCAAAAGCTAAAATGAAAAAGACGATTAAAACTGCTGTGACAAACAAAACTAATAACAATAAGCAATCTGATACAAAGAAAAAGCAAAAACTGGATAAGCAGGAAAAAAGTAAGATTGTAAAGATATTTTGTTATTTTTGATAAAACTTTGTTTTTCATTGTAAAAAAGTTAGATACCATTATATAAAATGTTTTAGTTCCAGATATCACTACCAAAAGCCGAAAAAGAAAACTGTCAGAAGCAAAAGAAACGAAACAGGTAATTAAATAATTCATATTTATGTTAATATATTTACGTTACCTCTAATAATACTATACAATACAATTCTTTATCTAGATTGAGAAAAAATGCCCGACTGATCCTCAAGCATTACTTAGTAACTTAGATGAAATGGACCTGAATAAATTCCTATCTACAGTTCATGGACCTGAATAAATGCTCTTTTTATTGTATATATGTATAAAAATGTAAATATTGTTTTTTCTATTTTTATATAATTATATATAGTATTAGAGTATTGGAAGTGAAGATAGAGTATTTTACTACTTGATAATCTAGATTATTTAACATTTATATATATATCTCTTTAAAGTCATTTTTATATGATTATCATTTCTTTAGCCAAATATTTTTTAAATATTGACTTTGTGTTGTGAATAAATATTTATTATCTTTTAATTTAAGACAAAATTTTTTTAGATTAATTATCAAGTTATATGTAGGATGTCTCTGCATAATAATGCCAAACTGTTATACTAGCTTCAGTACAAAGAAAATTGAAAGTATATATATATATATATATATATATATATATATATATCTTGAAAATGTCTAATAAATATATATCCGATTCCGAATGATTTAAGGAATATTGAAATAAGAAAATATGAATCATAGTAAATGTTTTTAATGTTCGTTATTTTATTCAATGTTTTAAAAGATGCTCAAAAATTTCTCCGTCGATTTCGACACATTTTTTTTAGCATGAATTAATAAATTGTTTTGGACTTTGGAAAATTATTTGAAGTTTCGCGGATGATATTGACAGCATTAAATATCAGTTGCTATAATTGTTGAATTTTGAAATCTCTTCTCATTTTATTCTCTCTTCTTTCTCTTTCTTTAGAACTTTCGTTCATCAAATTGTAACTAGGTAAGTTGTAGACTCACCTTTTTCACGAGACAGTGGATGACAGGACCGGCAATTGACAGCGACACATTATTAACATATATTTGTTCATATTTTGATAGACGAATGAAAGATCTGGTCTATTGGAATAAGATTTAGGATTTAGAACAACAGAGAATAAAGGACATTAAATCATATTTATTTTGACTCGTGTTTTCATCAATACTCCATTTGGAATCGGACATATATTTTATTAGACACTTTTGACTTTTTTTCGTATGCAGAAGTCGCCGTAACAGTTTTGACACTTTTGTAGGCACCCTGTATTTGTGTACGTAATAGAATAAAATTTATTACACTTCAGCATACACGGCCAAGAAGAGAAGCTTGGTTTACATATTATACTTAACCCATGTGTGTGTGTGTATGTGTACAGTTAGGGGGAATATTTATAACACAGAATTTATTATATAGACTGTATCCATAACTGACAATGTTAAATGAATTTGTTTGATACAGTAATAGGAACAATTTAAAAAGAAATGATTTTTTGACAAATATCCTGATACTTGGCACTATTATATTTTTATAGTACAATGTAGAGACATTTTTCATGGCTACAAAAACGGGAAAATACACAATGACATATAATATTATATAATACATTAAATTTATGACTTGGAAAAGTTTACAAAATTTTATAACAAATTAAATTAATTTTCAGAATATTAGTTTTCTTCGATAAATATCAAATAAAATATTTTATTTTTCTATTATAAATAAACGATAAACATAATGTTATTAAATTGAGATATTTCCAAATAATAATATACTTTTACATTTTATGTAATCTTCAGTTTCACAGAAATACTTTTAATTCAATATAAAAAAAAAGTATACAGTAGTTACACATTTTCAAAATCTTAACGTTGAAAAAAATTGTGAATATAAGAAAACACATTTTTTAATTGAAATTCATTAGAATTAAAATTTTAACTCTTTGATTTGGCCACATCATCCACTTCTTCCACAACATCCATGAACTTTCGCCATTGTTGCATGGATAAACATATTCCTATAAAGATATTAAAATATTATCGAATATATTTTACTGAAAGTTTTAATAAAGTTTTTTATATTTTTTCTAATTGACTATAAATTATCATCTGTAAAGTTTATTTAAAAAATCTTTGTAAAAATATTACCTTTTTTTCCAGGTTTTAAATCACCTTCCTTGTCATAATACATCTCCCGGATATCAACATAATATTTGCCTTTGAAATTTCTCACATTTACTTGACGATTGCTGCCCAAGTCCCAAACAGTTTCATCGTCAGTTTTCGCCTTCTTTGCTGGTTTCTTCTCATCTTTTGTCGCTTTGCTATCATCTTCTTTTACTTCCTATAAATAGAAAATAAGTATGAAATAGATTTACAAAATAGATAAAAATATAAGGTAATTAATATAAGGTAATTATTTAATTTAGCTCATCTTCAATCTTAATAAAATTATAGATTCAATGAGTTAAGGAGGGCTAAGCTGAACAATTAGTAAAATAATACCTCTTCACTGCTATCATCACTGTCAGAGACATATTCTTTTGACTTTGGCATCTTCAACTTCAAAAACGTAACACACCTGTCCTTAAAAAAATTCAATATCACTTTTGAAAAAGATTATTAAATGAACCATCAACGTAACGAACTTTGCTAACAATTTTCATTTGCGCTGTGCATAAATCGTCTCCTTTATCAAAATTTATAGATTTCGTTTTATAGATTTCGTAAGTATTAATTATTTTATGACCGTTATATATATATTCATATGCAGAAATATAACCTATACTTTCCAATCATTGTATTTTGATTAATATATATTTTTGGAATATTTATCATTTCCAAATTTAAACTACTATCATACTTTCTTAACACGTTAAATTATGATACAATTATAAAATCATAATTATTATGAAAAATAACATACCAATTATACTCTTTGAGCAAATTAAGGTGAATTCAACCAAGTATCGTTCTTTTACGTCTCGTTTCGCTAAATGGATGAACGCGAATTGGACAGACCTCGCGTATGCGCAATAGTGCAAGCATTAGCAGACGCTTTTACCGAATTTATGCCTACTGCACACCGAACATGATAAGCGATTAGCGATATTCAATGAAATTTTTTTTTTCTCATATGATATAAAACAGAGCTCTCATTGGATATCGCTCATCACTCATCGCGTCCAGTATGGCTGTGTTCCAAAATTTACTGCCAGTACTAAAAATCTATAGTGTACGTAACGTAAATTATAGATTCTTAGTACTGGTAATAAATTTTAGAAGAGCCTGCAATAGGCATATATCTCAAGCTTCAAATAAATGGAATTTATTCGCCGTTTTGCCAATAATTTTTTGCATTAGGTTTGCAAGTCTGTTTTTTTATTGCTGCACTTTCTGAACTAGTACACACAATGCAATAAGTTGAAGTGAAACACAATATACGTTTGTTTCACTTCAACTTATTGCATTGATTCAGAATGCAGTAATAAAAGACTTGTTGACAAAATATAAAAATTTTTCAAAAATGTGGCTTTATAACACCTGTATTTTTCTCCTAATGCACACTTACATACAGAAAATAGTATGCAGAGACAATGAAAAAATGAAAAAAATATTTTACTTCTAAATCTGGTTTTACACTAATATCACAGCATTGTAAGCGTTGTGGTCCAATTAGAATCGAGTTAACTTGATTTAGACTGCAACGCTTGCGATACTGCGATACGACTAATGTATGAGTTTAAGGCCTGTTCTACAATAGAGTCGTAAATAGTAAGCCATAAGAAATTAATCAATCATAGTCGATTATTCTTCTCACACTTAATTGTGATTGATCAATTTCTTACAATTTATCACTTGCGACCCTATTATAGAACAGGCATAAGAGATCTTAGGATCTGAGCTTAAGAATTGTCGTAACACTTATTTAGAGACTTAAGTTGTAGATGTAATGCATAGCTTTGGCGTATGACATATGCTATATCTCTTTTGGAGACACTGCAATGTTGTACGTCATATGTGAAAGCTTGTACGTTACTTACATCTATAACTTAAGTCTAAGTAAGTGTTACGACAATTCTTGTACTCAGACTCTTAAACATGATAAAACATAAAACAATCTTCAATCTTCAATCAATCTATAAATTCAACTTTTATTGTTTGCATTAATAATTTACTTGTGTCAAAAATTATATCATTTGTGTAACTTCTGCAAGAACAGCTAAATATTTCATTTTTTATATTTGACAATTAACTTGTATATCTTACAATTAGCTTTACGAATAATTTTACTGATGCAATGTACTAATACGATGTACTCAAAATCTTATTTCAAAACAGTCAAAATCTTATTTTATGTAAAATGATCACTTAATTCTATGATGCACCTCATGTACTATGACGCCGTAAATTAATACAGTAAAAGATTTTATGTGTACACACATTTATTCACTTTCTTCCTTGGAACGCTCTCTATCCGAGCGTCTAGATTTCTTCTTACGCGACCGAGTTGGACTCCGTGATCTTGATTTGTGTCTACGAGATCGCGATCTTGATCGATGCCGATGTCTAAAAGTATCAAAATTGATACATATATTAACATATATTATATAAAAAATATATTAGTATCTGATATAAAATTTCGGAAAAAAGAAGACTAGATTTTTACCGATCTTTATGTCGATATTGAGACCTGGATCTATCACGCTCTCGATCTTCATCTCGCGTCATAGAGTCTCTATCGCGATCCCTCATCATGGAATCCTTTTCTCTATCACGATCGCGATCTCTATCCTTGTCCCTATCTCTGCTTATGGAATCCAATTCCCGGTCGCGATCCCTATCTCTATCTCGTTCTCGGTCTCTACCATCCCTCTGATCGCGCGGCTGCATCAGAGGTGGAATGTTTGTTGGTGGAACCATCGTAGGTATCGTCTTAGGTCCCATATCTTTGTCATCTTCACCTTCAGTCATCGGGATTGCCAGATTTGTTGGCTGCCATGTCTTTAAAAAAGAAAAATTTTTGCTTTATTTTTCAGAGTAAATTACTAGTTACTGCCTAGAATAAAATTATCTTATGTTTTGTGTGTGTGTGTGTGTGTGTATACATGTAGTAGTTTTTAAGTTATATAACATTAGATAAATTCAAATAATTTCTATAAATAATGTTATTTTCACAAATTGTTTATATTGTACAATTCTTACTGGGTCATTGCCCCATTGGTTGTCTTGTGTGGGTTCATAACTCTGATAATATGGATCAGTTTCTGGCATATAGAATGGCGTCGGTTCTCCAGCATATCCTGGTGGAGGTATGTCGAATGGCGGCGGTGGCAATCCTGCTCCAGGAGTCTAGAATACTCTCTTCTATCAGCAGTCATAACTTGTATAACATTTCCTTTTGGTGGGGATTTATCCAGATTTCTTCTAGAAGCTAAACCAGAACTTCCTATAACATCTATAGTTCCTGCCATTTTCCTTCCAGGTGGTGGGCCAGCTCTCTTAGGACCCATAATGCCGGAATATTTGCTGTTGTCATTGGTTATCGCCACTTGAGGCATTCTCATGCCACTTGGATTACCACTACCACTACCTGCATTTAAGACTAATCCCACTCCAGACTCGCTTCGCATTCGCTTCTGACGTTCGCAATACGCTCTCCAGGTGTCTTCATTGAAACCATAGTTGAAATAATCTGTGATATCTGCACCAGGTTGTCTCCATGGTTTATCCTCCAACTGATCTAAATTAAACTCATGGGCTGGTATCCCATTGATAACGCCGATAGTTTCAAATTCATCTATACTGAACTTTCCTGGCTGTTTGTTCAGTTTGTCTGCTACACCAGACGTATTTGTTAGCAATCCTCCTCTCTTGATATTTAAATTACCATATGTTGGTGCTGACTTGATATCACCAATAACAACATGTACATCATCATCGGAATCAGATTCGCTAGCAGCTTCGCCATCTTCCTGACTAGAGGCATCTCTCGTCCCATTTTTACTTGCTTCTAAGTTCTCTTCTTGTGCATTATTCAACGAAGAAGATTCTTCATCACCATCGCCAAGGGAGTCAGTAACTTCTTGCATCTATAAAAAGAAACGTATGCTTTAAGATATCGAAATGTATAAAAAGATTAAATGTTCGGAGAAAGGATAAAACATGATATATATGTATATAATATGATATATTGTAATATGTATATATATATATATATATATATACAAATATTAAAATATACAAATTATAGTTTGATGGATTTATTTATCTTTTTTTTCTGCCTAGATTTATTTATTCTTTAAAGTTCTCTTAAATTATGAAAATTAAATTAAATGCCTTCAATCTTTTCTTTAAATCATATAGCACAGCCTTTTACAAAATATGATGTTTATTGTTCAAGCATTGTGTTATAGATGTGACAGGTTATGTTGCATTATTAAAACGTGCATAATTAGAAAGACTGTATGTAGTATAAGATATCAAGCATATTAAATCTTTAATACTAATAAATATAAGATCTTTGCATGATATTTTGAGGGGAATCAATTAATTGTAAATGATCGAGAGAGGTTAGATCGCATACATACCTCGGACGGTATCTCACCAGTACCTTCCACTTTCTGATCCTCCCGAATTTGCAAGTTCTCCTGAACTTCGGAGAGTGTCGAATCATTTTGCTGAATCTCTGATTGAATATTCGTCGATGTATATTCCTTGCCGTCCGTTGAATCCCCGTATAACCATTGATCTTCGCTTTCATCCGCCATTTTTCCTGCCTTACCTCCTGCATTTACCAAAGCCTTTGCGAGAGACCTCTTGCACCGCTCGTATATACCATGTCCTATGTTGGAAGCCTGAAAGTAGGTGGAAGGAATCCCTTCCACCATGCTGATGACGTCTAGTTTGTCAGATGGGATCATGTGGTCGATGTGGTCCGTTTTCTATTCCTGCACTAGACTGCACTAGAACTCTTTTTCTCACTTTCAACAAATATCAAATACATACCTTTCTCAGTTTAAAGTACAGAACTGAATAGAACTACTTATACTCTTATGGTAGAGAACTATTAAGTACTATTAAGTAGAACTACTTATACCATGCTTAAATTATAATTGGGATGTTTGTTATTTGTTTATATTGCTTGTGAGTAAATTAGACTCTACTGGATTTCATGATGACCGAAATTAATGCGATGACAATGGTATTACGCAGAATGTTTAGCAAGAAAGCGACTTTCAAGTCTGCAACTCGCATTAAGCCATTCGCCGGTATTCAGAAAAAAATGAAATTTATAGAAAAGGATGAGTCAATTGATCATTTTGATCCTGAAGACATAAGTGAATTCGAAGCAGATTTTATGAATGTCGGTATTAGCCGTAAGATGTATGAAAGGTATGTACGTCTACTAACACTTATATATTACATTTAGTGCTGGAATATAATGTTTTATATATATATATATATATATATATATATATACATACATACATAATAGTTTACAGTTACATGTATATATAAAATTTTATTTGCTTTATCTACCAAAGTTTATTTTATAATATTTAATTTGATATTAACTCGATAATAATTTTTTTTCATTTAAATCATAACTTATATAAATAATAACTATAATTCTCATTTGTAATAATTCATGTGAATGCATGTTTCTTTTCATTTTAACAAGTGAGATTCAACTGAGTATTTACCTACCTACAATCTGTACAAGACTATGAGTCTGTTTTTTGTGGCTGAACTAATGTACACTTTTAGAATTTGAAGTAAGATAAGTACATGTTTAATATTTGGTAAAAGCGAGAAAGAGAGTTCTAGTGTCTAGTACAGAAATAAAAAACAGACATGTACTTTACTGAGTCCTGTTAACTCATATTGAAAGTGAGAGATATATATTAAACCTATATTGTTATGCAATAACTTTGTTACCAAAGTAAGCAAGTAGTAACGTCCTCATCTGAGTATAGTATAAAATATTTATATAACTTTAGACTCATTATCACTTGTGTGAAAATGGAAAGCAACCATTTATTGTTATTTGTTAAAAATTGTGAAAACAATGTATATAACACAATATGTCTAATTAATTTATCACAAGATATTGATTTTTTTTCAGGGAGATGCAGAGCAAGAAAGAACGTCTTAAACAACAGATTGTTATTCAAAAGTATTTTAAAGAGAAAGAACCACGTTTCCTCACATTTGCTGAAAAGGAACTGATTCATAAGTTACATGACTTCAATCCCGAAGAGTGGACAATAGAAAAACTCAGCGAGAGTTTTCCTGCTTTACCAGAAACAATACGAAAAATCTTACGCTCTAAATGGTCGCCAAAATCAGTGGAGAAGGTTGTAGAGTACGATAATGTGGTGAAGCAAAATTGGGAAAAATTTCGGAAAGGTGAATTTCCATTAAATCCCATACTCAGTGAACATCTGATGAAATTTAAGGACAGGGAAATTATTTCGACAGACAGAGAATTATTAGCGAAACAGTTTGTCTCTACACTAGAATTTAAGAAACCAAAGAGTCAGTTGTTTTCTAATATTGTACAAACTTATCTCGATGAGAAACAGGAGAATATGAAATTATTGTCGCAAGAGCATAATTCAAATAAATTGACAGATAAATCTAATCATTGCGAAAATCAGAATTTATTGACTGCAAGCACTACGACCGACAATATAGCTGTTATTAAAAATACAGAGACTTATAGATTAAATAAAGAATTATCTTCTACATCGCGCATAGATTCACAAAATCATGATGTACCATTTAATAAAAAAAGAGAGAAGCTACTTACATTTGATGAATTTGTAAACGCGAAACTTGAAGATATAAATAAAGAATCTCCGGAAGAAGGTATCACTCTCCTAAATGCATACAGAAAGCAAGTAGATGCTAGTCAAGAAGTGCAGAGTACAGAAGTTGCTACAGCATCTGACAATGCAGTAATTTATCCGAAAAAAGGTGCTCCATTAAAAATTGTACGAGAATCTGAGAAAGATGTTTCTATAGATTTTAAAGATAAAAATAGAAACTTCAATATTATTGAAGCAGATGACAATTTGTTAAATACTTCCATCATAGCGCGGAATAAAAAAGTAGACGTAGAATTAAACTATGCTAAGCCAATAAAGATCGCAAAACATCTTTACAAACCTGGAATGACATATCGGATCAGCGATTGTTATTACGATGATGACGGAGAATTTTTATATCGCGTTCCGAGTGTACACAATTGAATGTCAACTTATAGATTATTAATATAGATAACAAATTTATATGTAATAACAAATGTAATAGATATAAAATAAACGAACATTTCTCTAATATTAATTTATTATCAATTTTCTTTATTATGTCAAATATAATTATATTTTTCGTATTATTCGTAGACGTATTTTATTACATTATTTACACTCGAATTATATAAAATAAATACATTTTTCTATTAAGCACATTATTTATCCATTTTTTTTGTCATACTCGTATGACAAAAAAAGAACAAGCTTTTCAAGCCTGTTGACTTTAGCGTTTACCGTATCTGCACACACGGTGTATTGCAAAAGTTCCATAATATCTTATATGTATAGAAAGAAAAACCGAGTAACTAATGTGCTAAAAAGAAATAGTCGTTTTATATTGGTATCACTGCAAATATCAACAGAAGTGTTGGTTAGATCTACTGTGCGTAATATAACCTATATATAGAATTTGCAACAAGAAATTAAGTATCGAATTGATGTGCAACATTAATAAATTAATATCGTATTGATATATAACATTGTCTTTAAAAATGATATCAACTGCTAGAGCTGTGCTTCATGTTGAACGACATATAAGTTAGTATTAAAGAAGTTATTGTGCTTATAAATTATAATGTTGTTCTTTATTAATGATATATTTAATTTTTTTTATGGTATAATCACTTATTGCTTGTAATTACCATTCGATATATTATCGATGGCTATTCATATTATCCATTATTACAGGTTATAATATTGTAGTCAATGGATTTCATCAATCTTGCATACAATACATAAATCAGAGATGGAGACAAAAGTATGATTTCTGAAATTATCTATGTTTAAATAGAGAACATTAATATATATTCTGATATATTTAACATAAAATCATGCCTAAGTTATTGTATAGTTATATATAGAATATATTGTATATATCTATATAGAATATATTGTATATATCTGTATTGTAAAAAATACGAAAGTGTAAGAATTTGTTCTGTTTGAATTACTTTATGTATAAAATTATTAATATATATTAGGTGTTGGAATTAATTCGTAGCGTTTTTTAATGAAAGAATGTTATTTATTTCACATGAGCATTAAAAAATACATTAATGAAAGTACTTCCCATCACTTGTAAAACGCTACGAATTAATTCCAATACCTAATATCTTAATGATATTAACAGATATGTGTGTAATTTGCAATTATAATTGTCTAATTAATATAATTTAATTAATATATTTTAGACGTGGATTAACAGCTAATCCAAATACTTTTGGTCCTTTGACAAATTTGCCAGATTATACATTTAAAGATGGAAGACCTACGCCTCTTGGAATAAGACAAAAAGCACGCTTAGATAAACAACGTGATTATGCGGTATGTAAAATAAATAAAAATTATTATTTGTTATGAAATTATATATCATTCTTTATTCTATTGATTTCCAGGCAAAAATTATCAAATTAGTAGGAGAGGTAGATTTTGCTGTTGAAAGACATACTAGAATGCAGGAAAAGGAAAAAGAAAAGAGGCAAACAATCCTGAACAATAAATTGAAACCTAAAGGAGATTTACTACTTCAAATACAAGCAGATACGATAGAAAAGTAGTTTTTATATATTAGATAAGAAAGTAATATACTTACTAAAATATCTTATATATTATTGTTTTTTTATTTTTCCATTATTATCCTTTTACTCATGCAATCAATAATTGAATATAAAAATCGATACTTGGCTCACATTCCATTAAAATATATATAATTAAAAAGCAATATTAGAGAAATATAAGCGATATATAAAGAAAATATATTTTCAATATTTTACATAATTTCAATATACATCGTATTTTGCAAAGTATACTTATGTAAAGATATTATTTTTAATTTTATATCAATGATGCATACTGAACAATTAACTATATACTAATTTATCCTCTAATTGTATCGTTAATCTCGATTGGCATTGGCAAGCAACACCGATACATAGCCCGCCGATGTTTTTAGCAACTGAAATATTTTAATCTTTAATGGTAAAACATAAATTTAAATGTAATATATACTATTAAAAAATTATGACGCATATGATAATCTCACAAAGAATACCAATATTTAATGATTCAAGTAAAATTATAAAAAGATTTGCATATTACTTATATGTGTCATAACTCACGTTGCAGAACGTGGACATTGTCATCGGAAATGTTTTTCCCGCTGTAATATTGACTGGTTTCTTTGTGCTTAGCATAATTAATGTCAGGTTTCTTGCTGCTTTTGGCTCCAGAGTATACCATACGTATTCGTATGTGGCGCGATGTATTTTTTCAGACTAACAATAAAAAAATATATTTCATGTATATTTATTATTGAGAAATTAATTGGATTAAAGGATTAATCTTTCTTGCGTGCAAGCGCGAATGAGAGAAAAGTGAGATTAATTATTTAAATTACATCACTTAATTGTAAAAAAAAATTTTTTGAGAATTAAATTCATTGATTGAATTACAGTTAAAATGTATGATTTTATAATTTCTATTTTTCTACTTTTCTACTGCTAATACTACCACGTTCATTATTATATGTTTCAATAATAGAGGAAAGTCATCGATATACTGATGTAATCTTCTAAAGAGAAACACCCCCTTATTTCTCGGAATTAATTATTGCATTTTATCAATACTAATAAAAAGATGATTTTAATAATTAAAGAAGTAAAAACTCGTAACTTATATATTTGTAGTTTGTTTTTATACGAAATTAACTAAACATGACAAACAAAAGTAAATTCCACTTGAAACATTTTTTTGGAAATAACGAATAGTTTGAGAGATAATTGCGTCCGAAGCTTCAATTAGGATACCCCAATTATTACGGATGTATTAAAATTTATATTTTTGAAAATTATAATTATTGTAAAAAAAATATTTTCGTTTACAATTAAAATTATAAAAACGTTCTAAAGTATAGAATTAAATTATTCTCGCAATTATTATTAAAGAAATCATTATTATAATACTTACTTGCGTCACGAGAAGTTCACCGACCGCACAATAAAGACACGTATGCATTAAAACACATATAGTGGCGGACATGTACCAAATCAATTGCATGAATGACAAGTAACCACCTCGCTCAACAATCTAAATTATAATAAATTATATATATTATATTTTAAAATGTATTATTTCATTGATTTGAAAGTTATAGTTCATGTAATAAAACACATGAAAAAGTGTAAAAAATAAAACATATATAAAGGATCAACATTGCATTTTGATAAAAGATCAGCATTGCATCTTGCAACATCAATATTATTATTTATTAATTAATTATAATAAGTCTAATATCTACCTTAAACCTTAGAAATATGATATATGCTATACTATTATTTTTGCTTACGTTAATTATTAGGAATCCATCAAAACAAAACAGTATACCAAAAAAGAATAACAGACCGAGCAGCATTAAATTGAATGTGTTATCAATAGTTTCTATAGATCTGTAAAATAGATACTATGAAATAAAAAACGATACATAAATTTCAAATGTTATGTAAAATGTTTATATATTTTCTATAAAATTATTAAAAAATTTAATTTCTATTATTTTAAATGATTCTAATTTTTACATTTACGGCTTATTTCTAAAATATTTAAATTATAGCATGAAGTAAAATTGCACATTGTGTTTTTAAAATCAAATTTTGATATATTCTTTACAGAATTTCTTTAGAGAAAAGATCCGACAAATCGATTTTGAATACTCGTGAATGTTTTTAATTCAGAACCTGATCAAGCGAATATGGTCTTTCACGTTGTGCTTTAAAAGCGCTTTGAAATTTGAATTCTTTCCCAAATTCAAAAGTCGCAGATGTAGATTCTCCATCTGGCCGCATATATGTAAGATCAGAAATCCAAGGAAGTTGTCGACTGCAGTATAAGACAGACCAGATGTAGTTAGCCCGATTACTTGTATCAAATATGTTAATTCAAAATTCGGGCTATTAGATACATCGTGCGGATAGTATGTTTGGATTGGCAAATGCTTTCCAACCGGATCGGTAAAATTCGTTACGTGTCTAAGTGTTTTGCCAAAAAGGAAAGCGCCGAAGGTTATCACCAATGTGGAAAGTATCATAAGTACTCCACAAATAGCAAGCGAGCGAGTGATTTTGGCTTGTTTTAGCATGACGATTCGTTCTTCTTCCATTTTCACTTTTATCCAATCTTTCACAATCATATCAATCAACGGCGATAAAGCTAGGAAAATAATTTGTTTTTAATATACATATATGTGATATTATTTTCTTGTAACATTATTGTGATATTGTGCTCGTGTTCTCAACTCAATTTATGGATTTAATATAGTGGAGTAATATATATATATATGCATTTGTTAAAATTCATAGTTTCAGAAAGTAGTCAAAGTGTTATTTACGTATTAGTTCAATAAAATGGAGAAAAATATAAAAGACTGAGATAAATCAGTTGTTAAATAATAAAATACCTCCTTTGTTGTACCACATAATGAAGACTTTCAACATTGTTATCAAAAGAGGCAGGGTATATTGTAAATTATCTATCATTAATATCATATCGCCCCATACTCTTATTAGTGACATTAAAGCCGGTATAGTCAATACGAAAATCAACATAATAACATTAAATAGAAATTGAATTTTTGATAATAATTCTTTACATCGAGTTTTGCTTTCTTTCGGCCACAAACCGATAATTTTTAACATGCAACGATTCAGACTGATCGCCCATTCTAAATCTGTGTAATCGATCAAATATATATTAGAATTATATTTGCTTAAATATCACTTTATACTATAAAATTTTATATATGTTTTCTTATATAACTTTACATATTGTTATAAGATATTAGTTGGATTTGTGAATATTACTTTTCACTTTATAAAACATAACTTTACATAGTTTTGTAGTTTTATATGTATATTGTATTTTACATTCTTAAAGATTGAAGGTAATATATATATATATACACAATTTTATATCATTTCTTAATAAAAGTTTCATTTTTTAAATTAAAATACATATTAAGTATAAAATTAATATAAGTCCACACAAATTTATATCACTTTCACATAAGAATTTGTGATGTGTACAAACTTAAAACTTTATATTGAGTACATAAGAAAAAGAGAGAGAAATAATTGAAAAGTAGAGTATAATGAAACATTTTTTTTTTAATTTTGATGCTATAAAAATAATCCATTTTTTAATTGCGTTATACTTAATTTAATAACATGTAAGATATATTATCTATTAGACGATACGAAAACAAAAATATATTGTTCCCAGTATTGAAATTTAAAATGTCAATTATTATGTCTTGCTTTTCAATACACTCTCTTATTCTCTTATATGAATAAACACTTAATGCAACAATCTTAAATTGTAATACAGAGAAATAATGTTTTATATTTAATATATGTCTCGTTAAAATTATTAACTAAACAAAAAAGAATACCATTATATTTATCTGAACTATCCATTGGTCAAAGAATTACTGATCGTCCTTCGTCAACGATATCATCCCTACTTTCTGAACGTTATTACCACGCATGCTTCTGACGAAATTCTTGAAACATGGTACATTGCACTGTCATAAATATTGCAGCAATCAGAACGAACATATGTTGTTATCGTCAAAGTGTTCATTCGGCGAAAGGGTAGGATGTATAAATTATAATGATGAGTGCGCAAAAACGAGCATTCGAAGTTCATTGGTACTGGTCGTTATTTTGTATTTTTTTTCTTTTTTGCGAAGACTTCGTAAATGAAAGGTTGCGCGTATAAGAAAAAAAATTTTTACGTTCGTAATAAGAAGACGAAATGGCCATATCGTAAAAATTTCAGAAGATCCGTGGAAGGTGCACAGCTTGCAGATACTTTTTGCGCTGCTAAAAAATTCCGTTGCTGAAAGAGAAAAGAATTACCATCTGTTAGACCTTTTGATGATACATTATTAATGAATCTGTAACTGCAGGTCGTTTCACCGAGCAGTTGAGACGTAACCAGATAACGAAAATGATGGGAGGAAATAGTGACAATTTATCGATGTTAATTCGAGTATTACTAAGAGATACGTGAGTACGCAAGTTTATGATAATAATAACAATAAAATAATTTTAAGATCAAAAGATGTTTAAAATTAGAAAGCTATAATTGCTTTTCAAACTATTAATGTTATAAGTTTTTTTTTTTTATCAACATACCCACACCGATGTAGAAATCGCTTTGAGATTTCCAGACGAAAGATTTAACAAAGTACATTTGAACAATTCGGCTATTTGACTAATGAGATTGTTTAATTCTTTCTCAGTTTGAGATATCGGAGCAATTTTTAGCAATTGTGAACATATAAGATTTCAAGAGAAGAAATCTGCTGCTTCTGAATAAATCACGGTCTTCTGTATTTTTATTGTTTTCAACTACGTGCATGCTATCAATAGTTGGTATAAGAATTGATTTACAATATAATTAAAATGAATTTTAGAGAATGATATGTAAAATATATATTTCTAATGTTCTCTACATAATTTTCAGTACATGTTGCAAAATTTTTCACATATTTATAAAATAATTTATGTTTAATTTTATGTCATCGTGGCATGTGTTAGATAAGTGATTATACATTAAGATTGTTAAGTTATATATCTGATTATGTCGTCATTAATTTCGATTGGCAAGCAACACAGACACATAGCCCGCCGATGTTTTTAGTAACTGAAACATTTAATTATTTAACGGCAAAGTATTGAAGACTTAAAAGAAATACATTAACAAATTATAAAGAATATAATACAATGATCTCAAACAATATCATTGTTTCATATAATTCAAGTAAAATAAAGAAAAAGGCTATTGCATATTTTATATGTTTTATATAACTTACGTTACAGAACGTAGACATTGTCATCGGGAATGTTTTTCCCGCTGTAATATTAAGTGGTTTCTTTGTACGGAGCATAATTAATGTCAAATTTCTTGCTGCTTTTGGCTCCAGAGTATACCATACGTACTCATATGTGGCGCGATGTATTTTTTCAGACTAAGAAAAATTTATTTCATTATGAAAGGATTTGTTTATTATTAAAGGATTAATTTCTCAAATGGGATATTAATTATTTAAGTGATACTTAATTATAGAAAAGTTAGATTTATTGAGAATTAAAATTAATTGATGCTACAAAAAGTAGAATATTTTATATATCCTACTTTAATTATATATATTTCCCTTTATTTTCCTTTATTTCTCTTTATTATCTTTTATTTTTATATATTTATATATATTATTTATATATATATTTATATATATATTTCCCAAGATTATATTAACTTCACGATAATTTATTACATGGTTTCAATATCACATATAAGTACTATATCGACATAAATAATTGTACCTTAAAAAATTATGTAAGTATTTAAATTTATAATTAAAATTATAAAAATGTTCTCTGAGTCATAGAATTAGATTTACGTTTTGTTCTTATTATTAATAGAAATCATTCTTATCTGGAGACACGGCAGTGTCTCAGCGTTAAGACTTGGCGCGAGTGTAATACTTACTTGACTTACAAGAAGTTCACCAACCGCACAATAAAGACACATATGCATTAAAACACATATAGTCGCGGACGTATACCAAACCAATTGCAAGATTGATAAGTGACCACCCCGATTAACAATCTAAATTATTATAAATTGTATACATTATATTTCAAAATTTTATTTTATTATTTTGAAAGTTATTTACATAAAAGTAAAGTATAGTAAAAAGTGAAACATCTATAATGGATCAACAATTCATTTTGATAAACGCATCTTGCAACATCATTTATTTGCTAATCATTTATTTGCTAATTAGCAATATTTATCTAGTAAAATGCTATATAATTATTCTTACTTACACTAACTATTAGAAATCCGTGAAGACAAAATAGGATTCCAAAAAAGAATAATAGACCAAGCAGCATTAAATTGAAAGTATTATCAATAGTTTCTATAGATCTGCAAAATAAATATAATGTAAAATAAAAAATAATATATGAATTTTATATGTTATGTAAAACGTTTATGTACATTTTCTATAAAAATATAAAGATTACATTTTTAAAAATCCTACATTCAAAAGATTAAATTATACATTTTTTTAATGACTAATTTTTAAGAAATTTAAATTAAAATATAAAAATACAAAATTGCACATTGTGTTTTATTTTGATCAACTCGAACTTTGATGGTAGATTTTTTAACGATTTTCTTTAGAGAAGAGATTTAAGTCTGACGGATCCATGTTTGAACGTTTTCATTTTAGAACCTGTTCAAGCGGATGTGGTCTTTTACGTTGTACTTTAAAACCGCTTTGAAATTCGAATCCTTTCCCAGATTCAGTAACCGTAGATGCAGATTCTCTATCTGACCGCATATATGTAATATCAGTAAGCCCAAAAAGCTGTCGACTGCGGTGTAAGAGAGACCGGATGTAGTTAATGCGATTGTTTGTATCAGATATGTTAGTTCGTATTTTGGACTGCTAGATACATCGTGTAAGTAGTATGATTGTATTGGCAAAGGCTTTCCAATTGGATCAGTAAGATTCGTTACGTGCCTGAGTGTCTGGGCAAAAGGAAAAGAGAGAACAGTTATTAGCATTGTAGAAAGTATCATAAGTATTCCACATACGGCGAGTAAACGGACGATTTTGGCTTGTTTTAACATGACAATTCGCTCCTCTTCCACCTTCACTTTTATCCAATCATTCACAATCATATTAATCAACGGCGATAAAGCTAAGAAAGTAATGAGTTTTTAATATACATACGTGAGATTATTATTATTTTTTGTAATATTATCTTTTGATACTACATCTCTCAGTTCAACTAATAATTTATTTTAGTAGTGAATGAGAATGGATTAAAATGGATTGAAATTTTAATCCATTTGAATCTATTCGAAAGTGTGTTTTAGCATGGTTTATTTTTATTTTTTTTAAATTCAATTGGATTGAAAAAACTGCATTTCCTATCCAGAATTATTATATTTACGATGGACTTAAAAAACTGAATTTTTTTAGTGAAAAGCATAGAAAATTGTTCGAATACCTTCTTTTTTGTACCACATAATGAAGACTTTTAGCATTGTTATCAAAAGAGGCAAGGTGTATTGTAAATTATCTATCATCAATATCATATCGCCCCATACTCTTATCAGTGACATTAAAGCCGGAATAGCTAATACGAAAATCAACAGAATGATATTAAGTAAGAACTGAATTTTCGACAATAATTCTTCATGCTGATCTTTGCTTTCTTGCGGCCACAGACCGACAATTTTCAACATGCAGCGGTTTATACTGATCGCCCATTCTAAATCTATATGAAATCAATTAATAAACAGAAAAATATTAGAATTTATTTAAAATATTTGTTTAGTCTGTAAAATTACTTATGTTTTCATAACTTTATATACTCTAATAAAAATTCTGAAAATTACAGAGATTTTACACAAGCACACACAGTGTAGTGTTTGTGTGTGTATACACAATTATATATTATTTTTTAATAAAAATTATTAATTCAAATATTAAATTAATAATATTCTAAAATTGATATTCTTTCAAATTAAAATATTAAGTATAAAATTGACATAAGAGTTGACAGATATATAATTTTTACATAAGAATTCATGCTTATTGATTTAAAATTTGTTAAATACACGAGAGAGAGAGAGAGAGAGACAAAAAGACGGAAACGCAGAGTACAATAAAACATTTTGTGAATTCTGACGCTATAAAAATGGTGTACTTATACTTGAATTTTGTTGCAGCACTGATTTAATGATAACATACAAAGTATTGTATAACGTCTTATTGTATTTTGCTTTCCAATGCGTATTCCCTCCATCCTTATACGAATAAATATTTAATACAATAATTTTAAATTATAATATGGAGAAGTATTATTTTATGTTCAATTTTTATGTTTTGTTAAAATTATTGATAATAAGAAAGAACCATTGTATTCGCATGAACGATCCATTGGTCCAAGGATTACTGATCTTCATCCGTCAACAATATTATTTTCTCTTTCTGAACATTATTACACACGCATGTTCCCAACGAAATTCTTGAAACGCGGTACATTGCGCCGTCATAAATATTGTAACAATGAGAAAGAACATGTGCTGTTATCGTTTGGTCAAAGTATTCATTCAGCGAAAGGGTATGATGTATAAATTATAATGATGAGTGCACAAAAACGAGCATTTAAAGACCATTATCTGGTCAAACCATACGTTTTACATTGTTTCATATTTTTCTCTTTTACAAAAACTTCATAGATGAAGGGTCGCAACCGCCCATAAGAAAAATGCTTACGTTCGTAATAAGAAGACGAAATGAGCCAAATCGCTGAAAATTTCATCAGATCCGTGGAAAACTCACAGCTTGTAGGTATAGTTTTTACGTTGCTAAAAAATTCCATCGTTGAAAGAGAAAAGTATGATCGTTTATTAGACACTTTGGCAGTGCATTATTAATAAATCAGTAGCTGCAATTCGTTTGTACCATACAGTTTCGAGACGTAACAAGAATGGAAGGAAATAAGTAATAATAAGCAGTTTGTTGGTATCAAATAAAGCCATTGAAAATTTCGCGTGGAAACGCACGGCTTAGAGAGACTTTTTGTGCAGCTAAAAAATTTTCGTCATTGAAAGAGAAAAGCGTTGCTGTGTCCTGGACATTTTGACGGTGCATTATTAATGAACATATAGCTGTAGACTGTTGTTTCCAGCAGCCAGTCGAAATCTAGCTACGTAACGAGAAGGATGGGAAGAAATAAGTGACAGTGATAATTTGTGTGTGCTAATTTGAATGTTCGAAAAGATATATACGTGTGTTTATGATTTATATAAAAGAATTCTGACGAGATTAAAACATTTAAAGGAAAAGAAAAAAAATACGAAAATTATTGCTTTTCGAATTATTAGTACGTGTCATTATCTTCTTCTTTCTTCTATCACATGTATGCAATACGTATAGATAATACGAAAAATTCATCTTTTTATTCCATAATAGGTAATTATTAAATTTAAATGAAATTCTTAATCTGCAAAAAGAAGATTAATTTTGCGATGAGATGTCGTTTGTTTCGCATATTATGGACGAAGCAAATAAGAAAACGGCTCAAGATATTTTTGTAAGGTTTTAAGAGCTGGTTCGGCGGGATGTTAGAGTATAATTTCGGCGATGTGATTTTATCTAATCTTCTTACCTGCTTACGAACCCCATCAAAAGAGAGAGGAAAATAAATTTGACGATGTCGTTCGTTTTCGTTTAGGATAGGAATTTCTAATGGGTGTGTAATGTATCTGTAATGATATAAGGGGCATCTTAAATTCTGAAGCTACTTAAATTATAAACGTTAAATCTTAAATAAAATTATATAAAAATGTAACCGAAATAAATATTCTTTTTTGTATAACTATATATATATATATATATATATAGATAGAATTTATATATATTTATTATTACTAACATTGTAGCAATAATAATGTAGCTAAATAGATCTGGAAATAATTTTGTTGAATCATTTAAGTTACATATAGAAATCTCAAACATGATTAATGCTGTAAAACGTTTCCCAGGTAACACAGGCTAATTCTTATTGATCAAAAAGGCAAAAGACAAACAAAGACAAAGAGCAAGAAACAGGAAACAAAGAGCACATTGTAGAATTAGCCTTATTGATTTACATACGTTTTATCTGTTTCTAATATATTTTCAAATCGAGTATCGTTTCGTGAACTGCATTTAGATTTACGGAAAATGTTTTCGCGGTGATCTAGCATTACAAAAGTGGCATTCATGAAATTTGCATTTGACACACGTGACGATGCCGAAGTGTGAATGCGTGAGTCGCATGAATGATTGTCCAACGACGTGCTTATTATGCAACACAATTCATTCTTTCACAGACTATTTTTATATGCTTATCTACGAAAATCGGGCCATTAACGTATACAAATCAATCAATAAAGATTTATTTTTATATTAATGAAAGTTTATAAAAAGAGCATTTAAAAAGAAGTAAACAAAGCTAGAAAAATATTTCGTGTAGTGTAAACAATGTTACACAAAAAAATTTATGTTTCCTAAACATATACCTATAGATATGAATTGCGATACAATATTGTTACTGATTTAATTATCAAAACTCTTTTATTTTATGTAGAACAAGAATACAATCAGAATACAAAAATATCTTGTCATAATTAATAAACTCTCGCGGGAAATAAAAGATTTAAAGAATTAAAATATAATTTAAAAATTAAAAAATTTCCTTTATTTTATAAATGCGCGAATTATAATAAAGGTTATTTTTTTTCGCATACAATTGTTTAATGTGCTGCTGCGATGATTTGGACGGAGGATCTCGTGTTGGGAGCGCCGCGAATATTGATCTTGCCTTTGGATGATCCTAAAGTCGTTGGTTCGTCGCATGCTACCGCGTAACTACCATTGTCGTTCACTACACTAGCGTAATGAAGAATTCCTATACAAGAAAGAATATTTAAGATCGCTATCACTTATCAGGAATCAGATAAAAATAACATTGAGTAAAAGGCATATAAGAGTCAAAAATAGTAAAACTTTAATAAATACACGTCAATTTTTTAATACTTATTCTCGATGTCATTATATTAAAAATAAATTGATGGTGTAACATATAAAATATAAAATATCTACAACAATAAAAATTGTTATATTTTATATGTTACACCATCAATTTATTTTTAATATAATGACATCGAGAATAAGTATTAAAAAATTGACGTGTATTTATTAAAGTTGTACTGTTTTTGACTCTTATATGCTTTTATTTTTATCCTTTTATTATATTCTTTTATTTTTATCAGGAATCGCACTTAATGTAGTATTAAAAAATAGTCTTTAATTATAAATTAATATAAACGCTAAATTATTTTATAATTGACTACATGTTCCTTGCTTTTCTCTTATTAACAGCATGCTAATTCTTTTCTAATTTTCTGCGTACATTCAATGTCGAATCAAATCAAGTTATACAAATTCTTGTTAATGTTTCCTCACCATTAGTGACAGACAGCGTTAGGGTAGTTGACTGAATTCTGTCTGTTGGATTGTTAAACACGATAACTCGGCGAAAGACTGTTTCGTCGGCATATCTTCTTCCAATTTCAATATTTCCGATGAATCCAGTGGCAGCATATGTCTCGGGGAGAAGATTTTTCTGTACAAACGTAGCATAAGATATATTTCTTAATGATAGAGACTTTTTCTCAATAGAAATATTCTTCACAAAACTATTTTTCTTTTACATATATTCTGACAGAATATATATAATAGTGTATAATATACTATTTATGATTGATTGTTTCACCTTTCGATACATTTTACGCGTTAGGTAAATCTGATAATTCACGCAATGATTGAATAAACTTGCTACTTATCTAACTCTTAAAATTTATCAAAAGGTGGAATGACCCTTATCTGGACCGGCCTTTATTTTAATATTTAGACGCATAATACTTAGATTAACTTTTATACAATTAATCCCTAGATTATCTTACGCTATAAAAATCGATAACAACGTTTATGAAGATAAAAATCCAATCGACGATATACATTGTTTTGCTCTATATTATTATACAAAATGTTATAAAATGTCATAAAATGTTATTATAAAATATCTTAATGTTACATTAAGTTTTAAAAATAAGAAATAACCGATTACTTTAGTAAAAGTCCAGATTCTTCAAAGAAACGGACATAAATATTAATATATGCTTTACAGTCTGTCAATGAAGATTAAATTTAATTTTAGATAATCTACAATTCCTATCAGAATTCAGGATAGAATTTTATTTATAATTATCGTGTTCTATTTGTTTATAAACAAATGTTCTGTGTAGTTTAGCGAAAAATATTTGAAAAATCAAAAGTACACATGTATTATAAATGTCAGAGTTGGGAAAGTTACATTATAAAAGTAACTTGTTATACACCATTACGATTATAAAAAAAATAAGTCATCACAATTTCCATTATTTTTTCACCGAATTTTTATAAACTTTTTTTTAGAATGGACACGAGATCTAGCTAAATTTTTAAATACTTCAGCAAAAACCGTTTTTTTTTCTGTGAATATCATATAATTCCATTTTAAAATTTGTTACAATCAACTAAATTAATGTCCATTTCTGATGTAAATTAACTTTAATTTTAATTTATTTTATTCTTCATTTTCTAATTCTAAGAATTAAAAAAAAATGAACAATAATCTTAAATCGAAATTAAAGCTAATCTATAATACATTAATGGGAAAGCGCGGACATAAAGCAATTGCTTTAACTTCGCTATTATATATGTATATGCTATACATATATATTTGTAAGTTTTTATCTATTCATGAAACATATGATAAATTATTAACTCACCAGCGCCGTTTTTGGCACAATATCCTTCTCGATGAAGTCAATCTGGACATTCTTCGTCTGTGATAGGTCGATGGCAGCAACCGTCTGCAGGAGGCCAAGAATCGCGAGCGCAAGAACAACGATCGGACGTGACATTTCGGTACGATTTGATCGGATCTCAAGGTGTGTCCGTTTCTTTTATAGGGCAGCTCGAGTGATGCGTCAAGGTGAGCTTGCCTTATCTGCACAGCTCTTTTATGATTTCTCCATTGCTGGTGGCCCTACCGTGTTTCTTCCTCGCGGAATACAAATAAGAAAAACGCGACTGCGACAGAGGCACGTATATGCCGTCCGTCTGGTTCGCAGGGCCATGCGTGGTCGACAAATTCTCGCGGATGACCCTCGAAAAGAGTATCGTCCGTCCGATTGGTATTCGAAACAAGCACTTGACGCCCCAGGTGCCAGTAATAAAAACACGCTGTTTTTTTTTGTTGGAGTCCTTACTTATGGAAGCTATCCGCGTGACTACGGCGAAAATAGCGTAGCTTTCAGATTTTCGATCAGTTCTTCGTAAGCTTATTGTTTTCGAAGAGACTTTTTTAGATGACTTTTCTATTACTTTTTCCTCTGATCTTAAAGATTGAATAAATATATAAGAAAAATATATAAAAAACATAAAAATTTGCATTTTGTATTTTCAGATGGGAATAAAAATAATGTTATGTAATTTGTAATAAATTTAATAACTGCTTTTTGTTATTTATATACAATTTATTTAATACATATGTAATGCATACTATATAAAATGGTTACAACAGGACAATAGGACTCAAGCACGATAATTCTTGTGCAAACCAAACGGTTACCAAAACAACTTTAACTGAATAATTAATCCACTTACATGTTTCGGCTCACTTTTGAGTCATCTTCAGAGAGAGTATGATGTTGTAATTACAAAAAAAAATTTTGTTCTTACAAACTAATTCATTTCAGTGACTTCCACTTATTAACGGAAACTGTAATATAAAAACAAACTGTAATAACAATCTAAAATGTATTAAAATTATTAAAAGATACATTTTGAGGAGGGGGGGGAAGCAAAAACAATTTGTTGTAAAACAATAGAAGGTAGCTCACTAAAATACATAGTATATAATATAATATAGATTAAATAAATCATATATCTATTATATTGATGTATATGTATAATATTAATATAATTATAATAAAATACATTAATAAAATTATATACAATAATATATATATTTACTTTTATATACATATAATACATACTCCAGCAAAATAACTCAGCAAATCATAAAAATACATAAAAATATTTAATGTCATGATTTGATCGAATAAATAAATGTAGAAACCTTCGAAAATTTTTATCTTCCTTTCTATCTTCCTTTAAAATATGCAATAGTAATTTTTTTAAGAATTTGCATGGCTGATTCTCTTCTTTTATCACTCCGTTGTAATCATTTATTCCGCAAAAAGTAATTGTGTGCGTGTTTGATTTATAATTATTATCTATAAAAAAATAAAAATAAGTATAAATAAATTTTCATATTTCTAACAGTTTTAAGTACAAAGAAAAACATTTACATTGCTAATATTCTTAAGTGATCTTAGCAAATTCGTATAATTCGATCGTAAAAAGACCTGTTTGGAAAGAACCAGCATTCCAACTTGTGCGGATTTTTGGCAAAAAATTCAATTTCCACTTGATTCACGAGCGCGCTGATGCAAGCGCTCTCTATTAGAAGCAGGCAGAATTGAAATGGTGATGACTGAACGGATGACAAGCAGTCAAGCAGTCGACTGTCAACATTTAGGTAAAAATGGCGCTCGCCGATGTTTGTGGCATCAAGTCTTCTATTGATTTTGGCTATTCGCTAGAAAATGATAAGGTCATCAATGAAGTCAAGACATATACTAGAAATTTCACCAACAACCTTCACCTGGCGATGCCGCCGTTCGTAAACGTAAGCACGCAACGACAATCATGAGCCAAATTTGCAGCATCATGCAGTCACACATATTTCGTGACACGAAATTACACTTTAAATTTGTCAAATTAACATGGACAATTGTTATTTCATCGCAGCAATTATTAATAATGATACTGATATCGATAGTAATTAAATTCTTTGAATTTTTTTGATAATTTTCTTTCAATACACAACCAATTATTTTTAGGTTATTCTTATGTGTAATTATGTGTAGGACAAAATCATTCTTCAAATTCTAACAGCAAATAAAAATTTCTAGAATTATATTTTATATACTTGAATGCTTTCATGTGTGAAAATTTCAAAATGACATTTTATTTTGAAAAGTAAAATGAATTGTCTTTCAAATTATTTTTTTACGTTACAGCCAGCTGAAACTCTTGGCCAAATAGTTCAAGGCACTGATGAAAGTGGAAAGAGTTTGAAAATCAAATTTGACCATGGGACTACAACTTTGGGTTTCCAATATCAGGGTGGTATCATTCTAGCAGTGGATTCCCGTGCGACTGGAGGACAGTTTATTGGTAAAGTCTATTGCATATCTAAATTGATAAATTATATCACATCACATTTATGACAAAAATCAATCTACTCTTATCTTGATCTTCAGGCTCGTCCACCATGAAGAAGATAGTGGAGATCAATGATTATCTTCTTGGTACTCTGGCTGGTGGTGCTGCTGATTGCGTCTACTGGGATCGAGTGTTAGCAAGGCAATGCCGCATGTACGAACTCAGAAACAGAGAACGCATCTCCATCGCAGCAGCAAGTAAACTCTTGTCGAACATGATTTATAATTTCAAAGGAATGGGACTGAGTATTGGTAAGATTCTTCTGGTTCTGTAAAAGATTAGATGTAGAATGTGAGAGGACTTTTTTATATGTGTAATCTTGTAGGTATGATGCTGGCTGGGTGGGACAAGCGTGGCCCTGGACTTTACTATGTTGATTCTGAGGGGACTCGTACTCCAGGGAAGGTTTTCAGCGTCGGTTCTGGATCTGTGTTTGCATTTGGTGTTTTGGATTCTGGTTATCGGTGGGATTTGACAGATGAACAGGCTTATGAACTTGGAAGAAGAGCGATCTATCATGCCACACATAGAGATGCCTATTCTGGCGGTATCATAAGAGGTTGGTTACAAAATAAACATATATAGTAAGAGGTGTCTTAATATAATTTTATAATATTCCAATGTTGTAATATATAATTTTACTTTACAGTATATCACATGAAATCAACCGGCTGGGTGCACATCTCGGATCAAGATTCCAAGGATTTGCATTATGCATACCATGCCGATAAATCAGCAGAACCTTCAACAAGCACTTCCTAGATTTAATTATTAAATATACATTGTGTATGCAGGTATTAATCGTTTATGCAATAAAACGAAATGATTTCTATTTGTGTAATTTATAATAAATCATCATATAAGTTTAACGCTTCCATTATTATTGTACAATTTTATCAAATACTATTGTAATATCTGTTTGTCTACACAATCATGACAATCGTGTAATAAGATAAATGTGCCAATTAATTGACATTACTCAATTATTGAACAAAACGACAGAAATTTTAAATATTAAACTTTTAATTTGTATGCAATTCGAAATTCGTCTTATTAAATTTTTATTTTACAATGAATTTATTCAGAGTCTTACATTTAATCAAAAACTTAATATTTAAAATTTTTGCCATTTCATTCAATAATTAGATCATGTCCGCTAACTGGTATATTGAATATAAAACAATATTAACATAATTGACTTTCAATTTTGAATCGAAAGTAAAAGTAATTAAGTATTCAAAGTTTCATTAGACATTAAAATCAAAGAATAATTTTAAAAAATTATTTAATAATTACTATTTTATTATCAGATAGATTATTATTATTTGCTATTAGGTATATTATTATATAAAAATATAAAGAATATTTTACAAATATTTTTATTACTTTAAAAAAATATTATCTTTTAATTTTAATAATACATACTGCAAATTTACATAAAAGCTTACATAAAAGTAAGAAAATTTAAATATAGATATAGAGTATGAATTTATATTAATTTCTGTTATATATTAATTTATATTATCTTATATATTATTATATTATCTTTTATATTAATAAACGTAGATCATTTTATCGTGCATATGTCCGCCGTCGTGTATAACGTATATTCAAGACAAGGCATCGCGAGAGAAATATAAGCAACATGTATGTGGCAACCTTTCCCCCCTTTCTTCTCACATCTTTTCACATTGGTACTCGATAGTGCGACGCACACGAAGGCGTCGCGTCAGAACTCGGGAGTTGGAGCTGTTGAGTTGAATGCTATCGCTAATTCGTTACCGGAGTGGCGAGGAAGAGAGAGAGAAAGAATCAGTGTGTGTTGCGTTGTGTCAGCAATTGGTAGCATATTGTGACGGAAATTCAGTCGAGACTCTGATCGACGCGAAAACAACGGTATGTCAAGCAGCGGAGACGAGTGCAAGCTGAAGGGCGGTCATCCCCCGGCAGGTTAGTGATTTTCCTCTTCCGCGTTCCTCGTTCGCCCTGCGGAAACTACGCGGGAAGACGGGTTAGGGCTTGCGTTCGTGGCTCATAGCCACGACATGCCACCTGTCGATCGCGATCAGATTTCCAAGGTCGGCCTTTCGTTGAAGTTCGTTCTCTTAATGCCGGGTCGCACGTCTTTCGCGCGACTTTTGTCTTTTTTTCAGTAAAGGCAGGCGGTATGAGGATAACGCAGCACAAGACACCGAAGGATGAACGCGAGACGAAGCCTAGCAAAGACGTCGAGGAGAGCAGGCCGTCCAGCAGGTGAAGTAGATCACGATCTTGGTGTATCATGTTTGTCGCAGTGATATGCTAAATTGTCCTTCGACACTGATTTGATAATTAGTGGCTTTTACCAGCATCGAAAGACGGCCGTGGCGCAGATAGTGGCTCGATGCACAGAATCGGTTTTGAAAAAGACAGATGGAGAGATGGAATGAAAAATTTAATGATATTTAAGAATTTACAGATTGAATTTTACAGATTGATTCTTCAACAAACTAATATATATATATTTAATTCATAACTGAAACATATGGGTCCTAGTCATCCTGAGACATTTTCTTAATTTTGTAAATGGTGTAATGATTTGGAATAATTTTATGTTTTACAAGCTTATTTTTTGAATTTAATTCGGAATTCTTAAAAAAATAAAATTAGTAACATAAAACTTTAATAGCTCTCATATGGTTTCTGTCAATTATCAAAAAATATATTCTTGTTGCGAATTAAGATCATTGCATATCTATATAATTTAATTAATATTCTAAAAATAGATGTTTATTTTATTTATTAAATTATTAAATTTTACTATCTGTTACTTAAAAGACAGTAAAAATATTAATATACTATTAATATTGGTTGAAAGGAAAGTAATGTATTTTTAGATCAAAATTATAAACAAAATATATTCATTAAGAATGAATGAAATTTGAATGTTAAAAAAGGGATTTAAAACTTAAAATCTCTACTTTCGAAAGGTTACTATATTTTTCAGTTTCTCTGTAATTTTTACATATAGATCATTGCTCAATGGTTAAAAGAAATGCCATATTTTTAGCTGAAATTTATATATTCTATTTTTAAAACATTGACAAATACACCGTTCAATAGAACAAAGTTTCGGAATTTTTTAACATTGCGATACGCACGTGGATGATTTTTAACGAAATTGTGAGTAATCAAAGTCAGAATGCTCCTTTTATTTAATCCGTAAGTAACTCAGTAACAAAAAATCTTAGGAACATTTTTGAACAACGATTTTGTAAGGAAAACTTTAAGCTTTTATGTCAGATAATTTAAAATTTTCACATATTTTTTTGATGAATCCATAAAGTGAGAAGAAAATTTCTCATTTTGTTTAACTCGTAGTTTTCTACTATATGTAAAAATTACCGAACTCACAGAAACTCAAACAATATAAACAATATAAATATACGAAAAGTGGAGATTTTTAATTTTATTCATTTTTAATGAATATATTATATATATAATTTTAAACTAAATATATGATATTTTCTTTCCAATACAATAGTATCAATCTTTACATTTAAATCAATTTCTTAAATATTGCTATTAATCAATGAAACAGTTGCTGATAAATGACACATATTTCTTTTATAACTATAATTTTTATTGCATTTTCTATATATTTTTTTATATATTTTTTTGTAACTATACATTGCTATTGCTCATATGTTTAATAACTTGTATAATTATTCCTCTGGACCTCCGCCATTACGAAACCGATTCTTCCACGTATTATTCAGCTCGAAGTATAACATGGGACACATCCATCATCTTTTTTTTATATTCTTTTTTTTATTTTCTCAGGTACGAATGAAAGAATTGCAAGATAAAAAATTGTGATTATGTTGCTTAATCCATTCCTGCGCGACAATTCTGATAATAATAAGTGTGATTATCGGTGCTCCACACTTACATAACAATGTTGTGCAATCGGAAATAAACGTGAGTTATATCTGAAAAACATTTATACGGAGAGAGTTACTATATTTATGCGAAGCGCCAAATGAAAATAAACGAATTTAAATATAATTTGACGATTAACTACGATGTGTAGAATCTTAAAAAATTCCTCTGAACTTATTATACAAATAAAAATAATTTTCTTGCATTTTTTTTGCAGTAAAAAATATGTAACATATGTTTTTCAAAAAAATTCATTGATATTAATTATCGTTTGTAATCGATAATGATACATCATATCGTTCGAAATGTTTGCTTAAGCACAGCGTGAATATACCTTTATTCATCTGGTATAAAATTGTCGCAGTTTATGTCTTGCAATACATCATTACATCTATTGTTTGCAACAAAACCATTGAAAAGACAAAACAATATCTTTTTCTCCAAATATAAATATATATTGCAAAGTCGGCTATTCTAGAATCATTTTTAATTATTATTAATGTTTTTGAGTGTACCTTCTAGATATCAATTTTAAAACATTAGAATTGCCAATGACTCCGTTAATTAGTTTAATTTTTTTCTTTTTTATATTAGATATATATAGTACAAAATATTGTAAATGTGTGACTAATACAAATAATATTAAAATAATTCTTTAGTATCGAAAACAAGAATAAGAAATTATCAAATTGGTATCTTTGCCAACTCTAACGGAATATTATCGGCAGTTCTAATGTCAAAATATTGTAAAAAGCAATGTAAAGTATTTACAGTTCGGTATTATCTTATCTTCAGTCGTATATAAAAAATAAGAAAATTTCTGATGTTTGCAGTCCGCCAAAGACAATAATGATCAGTGGCGCTCCGGCCAAAGGAAATGCAGATTTTCCACCAGAAGCTGTGCAACACTTCCACGAGAAACCCATACCGACTCATGATGCACGGCCAGCGCATTGTTCGCGTCCCATTATCATTATATATATATGGGAGATAGGTATATGTTATATAAGCGTACTTAAACAAGTTTTTAAAAGAATTAAAATTAAAGAGGGTTTGAACTTCGCGCGGCAGTGTTTGTAACGATTCTTGATCCTTTAATCGATGATTGATCGTAATCTTTTTTCTAACGAGGTACAAAGAAATTGTAAATTTAAAAAAAAATTAAGTCAGGATAAATTTGCAAAAAATTAAGAGCTATCGAGTTGGATCTATTTCTTAAGATGAAGAACAGGCAGGCCTGCATAACTAATCGGTTGAAGGATCAAGGAAGCTCAATTTCTTGTACGCGTTGAAATATTAGATGACTTCACAAGAGATATTACTATATTGTTGTTAAAAACAAAAGAAAGTTTATTTTTGACGCCACAAGATTCCTTGTATCGGCATTTAAGATTACATATACGAGCTTTTGCGAATATATCTTCGACTCGTTATCGCACGTTTTATCTTTATCTTATCGTTCCTTTTATTTTTATACTAGACGATATATTTGCTATGATTGCATTACAATTAAGTATTGTTGTAACATAGTTACATAATACTATCACTATTTTGGGGACCAGTATGTACTGTGACTCATGATGGAATTCGTATTTAGTTGCACATTCTCAACTTTCTCAGAATTTTTCTTTTTCTTTTTGTATCCATCTGATTATAGCTTGAAAATCAGATGTATCAGCATCACTTTGAATTTCAGGGAATGGAATTTTGTTTTGAATGGAGTTTTGAATATAAGTTAACATAAATTAACGTAAGTTAACATAAATTATTATGTTAACTTACGTTAATGTTATTTAAGCGTGTAAATGTCGAGCGAGATCCATAGTTGGCGACAGTTTGTATAACATTTGAAAACGAATAAACATTCATACATGTACATAAACCATGGATTGTGTCTTAATTATTTCCATATGTTGAAATGATATTACATTATAAACTAATTTATAAATATCTCGAAATCACTAATTATTGTAGTTGATATTAGTGTCGTCGAATTAATATTTCAAAATAAATATTGACTGTTTGTATATGTATTTAATGCAAAAATCTGATTTAATCACAATAAAATTTTTATTGAACATATAATAAATTAATAAGAAAAACTCAGTAAGAGCCGTTAATAGTGTATACTGTATAGAGAAATTAACATAGCAGTAAAGCTAACAGCTCAATTCAATAATGTTATATTCTCCTAAAATCCACAATATAGGATTAGAAAACGCTATTGATTTTTCTCAGATACGCTTTGTTGTTCTATGTAACCCCGTATAATTTCTGAAACATTCTGCACACCGGTGGTCACATGAGTTGGAGTCTCAGACAGGAATTTCATGCTCGTTATGACTCCCTTATTCCATGACGATTTGAAAGAATTGGAGACGTCACCGGTACTTGGCAACGGTGGTAGCTATACAATTTAATATCTCTTTTTTTTAAATGAATCTAATAAAAATGTTGCAACAAAAAAATTTATAATGCGAAACAGAAAGCTGATAATATTGTCACATGTACAAATATGACTGTTCAAATTCTATATAAAAAATTGATGATTTATTATTATAAGATCTTCATAATAATAAAATTTCATCTATCAAGAGACTTCATCTATGATGTCATGGATGAAGTCCATTGAAACATCAGGTAAAGTTTATCATAAAGTTTAACCATAAGTTAATCAGATAATGAAAAATTAGGCTTTAGGATGAATTTCGTTTTGTGCTTACAACGCTTATAAAGATCACTTGTCCTTGTTTAGTACTTGCTAGACAGTAAGGATAAACTGATGTTTACAGTGTGTGAGTGTTAAATGAATGGATGTTAAATGAAGATTCTAAGGATGTTAAATGAATATAAGAATGTTAAAGGATCTAAGAATGTTAAATAAATTTGTCAATTGCAATAGAGCTCACTTCATTGACGATTTCCTTAGGAATATTGTCCTTAACATAAGGTGCGATATTATTATAGATCCTCCCGTATAACTGCACGCTATCCTCAGATTTGGACCATAGACCTTGGTGAACGCTGTAGTAAACGACACCGCCTACAAGGGTGGACTTGATGACGAACCTGTGAAATATAACCTCTTGTCGTAATTTGATTTCAACTCATGGAACAGTGCAGCATGCAAGTACCGTGACAGCGTGTCCTTTTTATTCCTGAGCGAATGTACTAACCGCACGATGCCCATTATTTCAGAAATTACTTTGACAAGAGTAAATTCAATTCGATGTTCTGGTCGATCAACGGTCATTCATCAAAAACAGCAAGAAAACAGTCAATAAGAACTATGATCAAGACTAGAGGTTAGAGGTTAGAGGTTGTCGTTCTGAATGCATCCAATCAAAATTCCTCTTTTCTCTGAGATGGAAGGAAAGGAAAGATTCTGATTGGTTGATTCTCTTATGCCCTCTGCGTTATGCATTTATGCAAAAGTTTGTGATGCGGCCACATTTCAGTCAGTACAGGCTGCAGTCATTACTGACCATAACATTTTTATTAATTTCATAATAATTGTGCAAGAATCAATTGGGAAAAACGCTGACGTGCTCGGACCCTCTGAACTCCGGAGTTCGGATTCGAAATTCCATCACTGCCATCCATATTTAATGCCATAACTGCCATCTGCCATGTGTTATCAGATAAAAGAGAATACGACCGTGGAGTAGGATCCGTTCAAATGAATCAAAATGAATCTTTGTAGCTGTACTATAGATCCATATGAGTCTATTAATGATAATCACGGTTTGGATTGTAAAAGTGATACAAAGTGGTGGTATTCAATAATATTGAATTATTTATCTTAATCTCAAAACTCGCGATTAACAATGTGGTCAACAGAATACGTCGAGTTAAAGGTATGAAAAAAGTGATATTAGTTAATGAAAAGATGATAGAGGATGTGAAATAAACAGTACTTCAATTTTTTTGTCATTGTAGCGTATTGATGCGTTATTGCAATGTGGGATATGTTACGATTATATGGACACTAGTGTAATAACCTCCTGCTCTCATAGTTGTGAGTACTTCTATAAAGAAATCTTGTTACTATTATTTTTTTACACATGTACATTTTGTATGTTATATTTTTAGATTGTTCATTGTGTATTAGGAAGTATCTGCATCACAAAACTCAATGTCCAACTTGTTTTGAGGAAATCTTCGAGAAAGATTTAAGGAAGAACAAACTCGTGGATGAGATTATTATTCAATATTTAAATTTTAAAGAAAAATGTGACGAGAAAGTTTATCATGAAAAATTAATTACTGTAAAGAATGAAAATTCTGGAGTTGAGTGTTCGACAAATAATTTTGAATGTAAAAAGGAACAAGATATGCTCAATGTATCACACCATCATTTGGATAATTCAATGCTCACAGCTGGTAATACCACACCTCATAGACAAAAGGATAATCAACAATATATATCTACTCCTAGCACTAGTGCAGATCCTAGGATTCCTTCAATGTTTACTCCGAAGAGTAAAAAGGGTTTTCAAAAGGAAGAAAATCGTCAGTTAGTTACCTGTCCAGTGTGCAAAGTGGAAGTGCCTCAAAATAATATAAATAAACATTTAGATGATTGTTTAAGGAGAGAAAATACAAAGGTGGAACCTAAAAAGTAAACATTCTCTTGTATTATTTCCTCAAGTTTTTAAAGAAAATTATTAGCATCTAGAATGTTTTAATAGGTTTTTAAATCTTCTTGAAATACTTGCTTATTTTCAGAAGCGAACCGAAACGTAAACCTTTGCCAAAGTTAGTGTATAGTTTAATGAAAGATAACGTTATACGAAAAAGACTGAAAGAATTAGGCTTATCATCTCAAGGAGATAAAAAAGCATTAACGAATAGACTACAGAGATATACAGTTCTTTATAATGCAGAATGTGATAAGACATATCCAAGACCTATACCAGAATTAATTAAGCAATGTGAAGAAGAAGAGGATTTGGAGAAGAAAGTACAAAAATCAAATGTAAATATAGTAGTATTACACATATCAAAGTTCTCGACATTTGACTTAGAATTTTTCTAGGTTTTAATTATATTACATTTTTTCAGAGTATTTTTTCGAATGTCACTAGAAACACTGAAGATAATATTGTACAACAAAAGAGGAAGCAATATTGTAAGTATTTTCTGCAAATTATTTGCAGATGTTGATTTGGAATATAAATGTTATAAATTCTCAATTTTTCTTTTTTCTTATTTTTAGTGACTACAAACAAGGAAAGTTTTGACAAATTAATTGTAAAAATAAAACATGATAATGGTCCACAAAAAATTTCTGTTAGACGCAGCATATTAAACGAAGAAAATTCCGATATTTTACTTAATGATTGTGTTGCAAAAAATAGTTCAACTTTAAAAAATGATCAAATAAGTGATTTTCTGTTGCTAAATTCTACTAATTGTATCGAAGATTCGAATTCAAATACATCTTATCCCTTGCAATCTAGCAAATGTCCTATGGATTTTCTAACTGTTGAACTAGATACCTCATCTAACGATTTCACTGATCAATGTGCTTCCAATCATGATATCTTAAACCATTCAAATATAATCAGCCCGGATTTATTTAAATGTACTATAAAAATGGAAAATAAAAAAACCGAGGAATTGTCTTCCGAAAATATTTTAATACAGGAAGAAATAATTTCTAATAATCATTCAAGACAATGTGATGTTTTGAAGAATGAAATAGGTATTGATACTGTAAAATCAATTTCTGAACTTGTTAATATGGAAACAAAGAATGAAGAACAAACGAGATTAGCTAACAGAAATAGAAGTGACACGCCAAACAAACATGTTGCACATTCCGAACTTAGAGATAGATGGCAAAAAGAATTACGCAATGAAAATGTAGATTCAATTGTAGAAGATGACAATATTGATGTTAAGGATAATTATGGTAAAAAAAATTTCTAATATATAAACAAGTCTAAATAAAAGTTATTTTTCTTTTTACAGTTGTTCCTCTGTATTAGAATCATTCAAATCTTTATGAAAGTTTTTATTTTTATAGAAAAATCAAACCTCGAGCAATTAAATGAAGTGGTGGAAGAGTATGCTATCGGGATGAAATCTGAAAAAGAAAACATGAAAGCGTTGGACAAAGATCTAATAACTTGGACTCCTAGAAAACGAGAACGTGAAATGGCATTCGCATTAAGTGATGAGGAAAAAATTGCAGATAGAACAATGAATGTTAAAAAATCTCTCCGGTTTGGACTTAGTGAGGCT